CGGGCTGCTAGGAGCAGGGAATGTTGTTTTTGATCTGTTTAGAGCTGTCAGCTTCTCCATTTCTGAAATTTGGTCACCCAGTGACAAAAGTGTGAAAATTATTGAATTAATCTGAATTCAATACAAAGCAATATATTTTGAGTCCTTCATTAAAAACAGATGGAAAAATATGATTTCATCTTGTTTTTAAAGCAAATTTTGCTTTAAAAAAGTTCAAAACCCTTAAACCCAAGTTCTATAACACATGTGCTATGATCATGATGCCTCAAATTGTGGAGTTTGTTGTGGAAAAAATGTGATGTCATGTTTCTAGCTAAATTTGTCCTATTTCCTACCTGGAAGATGATAAAACGTGAATCACAGAGATTGGGCTTTTTTTATTTGAGTCAGTAAGCAGACTGATCTCATGAAATTGCATATGTATGACACAAGCCAATTCGTATTTCCATTTTTGGCATGCTATCAACACGCATAATCGCTTTTCAGCGTGTTTATGAATGCCATTGACTTAACGTTACATTACTGTATATATAAATCTATGACCTACCCCAACCCCGTCCCTAAATCTACCCGTCACTGGGGTTAATAGCATTTATGAGTCTTCCCCTACCATCCTAGGAAAAAATATCGCTCCCCAGATGTAGATCTACATTTTGCCTTGTTCTGCTCGGACATTTAACAGCGTGTACACACGGAATCACTCGGACATTAATGGCGTAGACATACGCGGATAGCTCAAAATGCGTATAGATAACACACCACTTGACTTGAAAGTGGCGTGTATGTTTACGCAAAAGTCATGATGTCATGTTGCAGTAAGCTACCTAGCAACCCCCCAGAACACCCTAGCATCCACATAGTAAGTAATAGACTGAAGAAATCTTTGAACACCATAGCAACACCTTGACATTGGGATGATGAGATATTCTTTGGCAAGCACCACTCAAGTTATCTTTAGAAATTAACTAAATTTCTTTGGTCTTCTTGTATTACACGCCTTTTTAATATTAAAGACTTCTCCTTTAAAATATAACTATTTATTAACTATCCCACTCTTTATCTGTTTTTCAGATATCTATCCTGATCCACATCTTTCTCTTTCTCTCCCTCACTCTTTCATTTTCTATTCCTTCCTTTTTTTTTTATTTTCCCCTCTCACGTGTATCTCTCATGTTGGGCCTGCAGCAGTAATTGATAGATATCCTTAAAGTAGCAGATCCCTTTCAGTCACGCAGAATTCCCCTCTAATTACATTGCGGAGTTTCTTTTAGCCGAAATTAGTGAGGTCAATTTGTACGTTGTCCCTTCAGCTGTAGACCGCCGCTCCAATGGTTTATAGGAATAGCTTATTTGCATCACATTTTCCTCTGTGTAGTGTACTACTGTCATTAAGTCATAAACACTAATAAAATTAACATTGGAAATCATACATCCATTTGAGTTTAAAAACACCCACAAAAACATCACTGTTAGATGTTCTAGCCATTAGCAAACATTTTCCATTCACGTTTTCGCAGCCCAACCAACAGTCCAGTACACCACTAAACACTGTGGGGAACATTACATCAGCCCTTAAAAATCAAGACCAAGATCTTTATTTTGTGCCCAGAAAGGTTTGCTTTGGAGATGCCTGTGCGTTTCTGTGGTTGTGGCAGTCTGCTGTGGGTGTGTATGGCTCTAAGTGTGTGTATTCCTGGCTCTCTCCACGTCCTCAGTGTTCCGGGTCCAGTTGGCTCAGTGCTGAAATGCTTCTGTTATCTCAATCAGTTCACACCACGCTTGTGCCCAAAGCTGTGGGCTGTTTGTGCCACCCTCGCTGCTGTGGCCCTCACATTCCACTGCGTGTCTGCTTCTGTTAGGGGATATTATTTTACAGAAGTAAACACTTTAATGGTTTTTTTGGGATCACTGTGTGCTGTAAGATGAATGTGCAGGGACCAAGTATATCATTGCTGTAAACAGTGTTTCTCAGCTGTCAGGTTGCAACCCAAATTTGGGAACCAAGTTCTGCTTATTACAGTCTGCACAGGGGAACTGTATTTTTTACTCATTCAAAGATGTACAATATCGGTACTGGTGCCCATGTTATTGGCCCAGCACTCTTGATTTAATAACACTGCTTAATATTATCTTTAGCAAATTTTTCATAAAAGTTCATATAAAATTTGTTTTAACAAAATGGCAAATTACCTTTTTAATATCGCCAAATTATCTGACAGCCATACAATGAAAATACTGGTATCTGATGACTTAACAAGCCTAGAATTTCTGCTAGCTCTCATTGTTTATCCTTATTTGTTATCCACATGCTTGTGGCCTAGGGATGCACCGAAATTCTGGGCCGAAACCAAAAATTCTAGATGCTCTAGAAAAACCAAGTAAACAAAATATTAATAATACAAAATAAATTATATAAATATTTTATATTTAAATGTATTAATTTAAATTAGCTAATTGCAAACAGAAACAAGTATACTGCTACATAGAAATTTCATGTCGGCGCATTATTTGAGCGGACTTTGCTTTTCAGTGATGACAGCAAGGGTGAGAATGAAACTTTCTGGCCAAAAAACGAAATGAAAATGCCATTTTGGCAGGTGAAATTCATCCCTTGTGATCTATGCTCCCTCTCTGTGAAAGCGCTTTCCTCTATGTTGGTGTTTGGTAAAGGCCAGAGTAGCACTGGTGAATACAAAGATGTGAAGGGGAAGGAATGATGATCCATTTTGGCTTTTGGACACTAGAGCTGCCTCACCCTTAGCAGCATAGCAGGATCCTGAGCAACTGTGCTTTCTATTAAAAGCTTGGCCATTGAGAGACAGCTGTGTATGCGTGCGTGTGTGTGTGTGTAGATCATCATCTACATGCACCACAGATTTTGACCTGGATAAACATTTATTCCATTACTCTGTCCATAAGCCTCTTATAAGACACAATAACCGATAGAAGCATGCCAAGCATGTTTAAATGGTTCTGTTTCCATAGTAATGGAAACACCACAACACTACACATTTCTCAATGCCAGTGCTACTGCTAACCTACTTTTAACTTACCTGTCACTCTGCTGTTTCAGTCTTGTAGCCACGTATGAGATTGAGTAAATGAATTCAAAAACCACAATGGAATTATTAGTAGGAACAGTTACAGTGTTTAATCTTGTATCCAAAGCTAATCACCCTGCAGGGTCTTTTCGACAGGGGCCCATTTAACAAAATTTAGTTCAGGCCAGGGCCCCCAAGAGTGTAGGACCAGCACTTTTATTCTTCTAGCTTCTAGTCAACTATAGCCAAAGTGCAGTAAACAGTCAGCTTATTGAAAATTTAATGTATAGGAGGCATGCTGCAAAAAATGTTTAGTTCATGGCATGCATCAACTGAAAACAGCATAAACTAAACTAAAAGATCGATTCTTGGGATTTAAGAATTGATATTGGTTCATCAAAATGAGAATTTGAGGAAAAAAAATCGAGTAATAAATATTTTTTTTACCCAGCCCGAATAATTATCATAACATTAAAGTTGAATCACCACTTGAAACCTGTTTTACTTGCATAATGTGAGAAAAACATGAGGGATTTTAAAGAGAAAAATATAGAGCATGAATAAATTTGAAACAATAGCTTTATGTGAGACTATCCATTAGCCTGTGTAGCCTAAGTGACGGCAGCAGAAAAGGAAAGCCGTTTCAAAGGAAGAGCAAGCTACTACATTTTGACAATTTACAAAGCCACACAATTTTACTATGTGGAAGAACATGCACCGATAAAATGTTCACAATAATACCAGGTAGCAGGAATGTTGGAAATAATTGCAGTGTAAACCAATGAGCTCATTTAAGCAATTGAGGCTATTTATTGTTCAGTCTGTTGGGCGAATGTCAGTAAGTTTATTAGCAGTTTTCTCTAAAGACGTTTCACACTGTTCTGTAATTAGAGTTCAAGACTATATTTAGGTTTTAAAGTGAACTGTTGCTTGGTAAGAGAATATGTCTATCTTTCTATTGTACTAAGTCTATTCTATCTTATTAGCGGAAGAAAGGGAGGGGGAGCGTAACGAGGATGAGGGCCCAGACACAAAGTCATGCTATAAAAAGATTAATTAAAAATCTGTATTTGACTATAATGCTGATGATGGCAAGAAATGGCGAGGAACGAGCCTTTCAGCGCTCTTGATGATGTAATCCAAACCTTTAATGCAGTAACAAAAAGGAGAATGTGGAAGGGAAAAATTGCCTTCACTGTTCACTCCCCTGACACTGAGGATCAAGAGAATATGAAAGCATTATAAGTTGTGAAGGCAGAGAGTGAGATTTGAGAGCAACCCTCTTGTCTGTGTATAGTATGACAGTAAGAGGGTTTTACTTCATTATATGAAACTAGCTTGTCTGTGGATGCTCATGAGTGTTTCAGACAGATTTAAATAAGTCTTGGCTTATGTCTAGTCTGAGAATATAAAACATGATAATCTGCCTATAATGTAACTAAAGACACTACACAAAGTGCCTTTGTGCACTTATGAACACTGAACAAGTGGAAAGCAGGACATTTAAATATTTTCATAAAACACTACTGTTTGATGTAATTGAATGCTAAAGATTGCAGCTGTTCTTTAGCTCTGCTCTTTTCTTTTTTTGTTTCTTTTCAAAGAATCACATTTGAATGAAAATTCTGTAGGAGTGTTTGTTGTGAGTGGGGGGAAGGGTGCAATTGGTCAGAGTTCCAACCCTCGGCCAATCAGGGATCATCTGCTGGCTTACTCCTTTCTCCTCCTCTTGTGCTTGCAACACTTTTCTCTTTCCTGATTGGCTGTTCACACATGCAGCTTCTGGAGGCTTTAAGAGTGTAATGGGAGGGGCCAGACAGTGCATTAAAACCAAACGTCTGCCCCCATTCGCTCCAGAGTACTCCAGTATCTGTTATGTGTGGAGCAGAGGGAGTGAAAGGAGGTCCTCTCTTTGCCTACCCATGTCTGACAGCATCTTTCTCTCTCTCCTTCCTCCAGGAAAACAGTGCAGGATTACAAGAATAAGAGTTTCAGGTTTTCGAGGAGTGTTTTACAAGTCTGAAACATCTGGAGATTGAAAGGAAAGGACTGAGCCACTGTGGTTCACCAGAACTATTCTGCTAACCTTTCAGCTGCGAAGAGCTCACTTCAGGATCTGCCTGTCCTGGTGGGTCACTCAGCCGGACTGATGTGGAATGCAACCCTTTATGACCCCATCCCATGGGCCTCTATTCAATGAACCGGACTCGGGAGAGAGCAGATAATAGAGGCAAGAGGCCGGCACACAAAAAGAGTGAAGTAACAGCAGCAGGAGTGTTCAGACTGGTAAGAAAGTTAAAGGGGTCATTGAAGGTGGGAAAACAGAGCTTAAAATACAAAGGAGAAGGGATAAAGAGACCAGTAACTACAAAAGTCTTTCTTGGGACTGCAAGACATTCTTGATCACAAAGAAAGCTTTGACCCTTAGTCATTTCACCTCTCAAATTAATCCCACTGCTACCCATCATGCCAGTGGAGACCCTCCGTCCTACAGATGGCCGTCTTACTGGGGGTCCCTTCACCTCTGCCATGCCTTTCCGTATCCTCAATAAAGGCCCTGACTACTTCCGCAGAGCGCCTGAGACAGGAACACGGAAGCTGAGTGCAGTTGAGCGCCTGGAAGCGGACAAGGCCAAGTATGTAAAGAGTCAGCAAGTTGCACTCACTAGACAAGAACCTGTAAAACCCCCAATCATCCGCAAACCACTGTTATCACCAAGCATGATGATGCAATGCAGAATAAACACTCCACCAGCGAGGAAGATTACCCGGCGGCTACTTGAGGCAGAGAACGGACCGGACCATGGCATAAGCAGAGGACCACAACTCAACCTGGAAGTACTGAATAATCTAATCAATGTCTGCGATGGGCCACTTGCATCCTCCCCTACCCCTTCCTCTCCTTCTCCCTCAGGATCCTCTCCCTCTTCTGGAGGTCACAGTGTTGGTAGTGGACAATCTGCAGAACCTCAGCACTATTCCAACTTCAAAACACGCCTTGCCTCAACGCCCAACTCCTCTCGCACCTCATCTCCTCTTAACAATCAATCCTTACCTGCAGAACCCAGCCGAAGGCCGCCTCCGGTCCCAGCCAGAGCTCCCAGATTGGTCCCACAAGGTAGTTACGGACCGCCCAACTCTGTAACTGTGCGGCGAGTGGATGTGCGGCCACAGGCTGAGGTCAGAAAACCTAAAAGACTGCCTCTACAACTTAAACCTAGACAAACCCAAGCAGCACAACCCCAGATAGCCCAGCCACAGGCGCCTTCCACACCTCCTGCTCAGCTGCAACCTTCGGCAGCACACCCTCCATCCCCCTTCATACCCACCAGCCCGCTGTTTCTGCGACCTGGCATTCTACCCCCGGCTTCCCCCGCTTTCACCCGCCTTTCTTCAGCCAGCTCTCGAGGGTCACGTCCAGGTTCAAGCCGGAAGCACCCCTCCCTCCATCGGTCCAAGTCAGACTTGAGCGACCGCTACTCTCGGGCTACAGCTGACCTGGAGCGTTTCTTCAACTACTGTGGGCTGGACCCAGGTGAGGTGGAAGGAATGGGTGGCGTGGAGCGTTTCGCCCGGGCCAATTCGGACATTGTTTCAGTCTCCAAGCTCCGCAGCGTCAGTACGTCTAGCTCAGAGTGCAGGGATGGTGGGGATGGACTGCAAGGGGAAGAGGAAGACGACGATGGGCCCATCAAGCCCAGTGAGCGGGTTCCTTACGGCATCTCAGTCATCGAGAGGAATGCACGCGTCATTAAGTGGCTCTACGGTATCCGACAAGCACGGGATGCCACACAAAACATCTCCAATGTCTAGGAGTTTCTCTCTGGCTGTCTACCAACCCAGGACTACCAGACATAGACAATATAAATGGAACAGAGACTTGTTATAGCATCCAGTTGATGTCTATCACACACCTAATATTTATTACGCTCTTGTTTGAAGGCTCTTTGTATTTGCCTTACTAAAAGGATAATGTTCATGATGTTTGTTACATAGAATTTACATGGACATCCTGTTGTTTTTCGAGTGTCTGATACATCCGTACATCCAAATGCGGAATACTACAGACTCTCAGCACTGTGACTTTGATACATTTTGATTTTAAGCAATAAGACTAATGCTAAAGGCACTAAAAGTGATTGAATGGATGAGGATATGAATGAAGAAGGTAGCAGTCGATCTGCTGTGCTGGTGCTGTTCAGGTACAAAGTCTTTATTAAACAGCAGTACTGTGGTACCTGTGGCCTAAGCTAATTCCTCTAGGAACCTTTGTTTATAGTATTGGAAATGAAGCAGGTACTTTCTAGTTTTAGAAATCTTTGCATTGGTCAAGAATTGAAGAATGGTTGAAGCTATTTAGGACGCTTGTGTTTATGAGGTCATCATTTGGTGTCGATTGTAGTAAGACCTCAGGGATATGTTTAATAAGCCACAACTAGAACAGACACTGCATAGTCCTACCAGTTCACGCATATAGAAACTGAGATTCACACAAACCCCTGCTCGCTGTTCACACACTTTTGCTCCATAGGTGTCAAATTCACAAGTGCGTCAGATGTTTGGTGTAGATGTTTTTGAAGGCAAGACTATGATACTGTGAAGAATTCAGAGCTTCCACAGAGGCACTGCTCCTCTGCAAACATGGCTGATAGACTGTTATTGTTGAATATAAGTTTTGTCATTCAAAATATAAGCATGTGAGAGCCTCTTGTCAGCATGCACATGTGGATGTACAGCTGTATTATGTGGCAAAGCACAGTAGCACGATGTGCACTCCAACATGCATTCCAAAACATGGACATACATTCCATTCATCTTAATGTTTATGTATGATTTGTGTGGGTTTTGTTTGTTTGTGACTGTTCCTTCTGCCTGTTTCTATGTTTTGGAGAGGTTATGTTGTGTAAGACAGGTAAAGTGTGAGAACGGACAGAACTGAAAGTGTGTGTTTGGCTCAATACTCTCAGTGGAATCAAAGCTGTTAACTCTGTTAACTGAGTTTTTCCATTTTAAAGTAAAAAGAGTAAGCCTTACAAATTATTTTGATGGAATTAGATTGAATATGTGCACATAGACAAGTCATGAGGCTACACAAATGTTTACTTTTGGTTGACAGCTTTTGCTTTATTAAAAGCATAATAATCAAGATTATTTTTTTCATTGAATTGTGCAATCTAAATATAGCCATAAATGCATGAAAAGGGAACACAAAGCATTTGAATACATTCAAATACATTGCTCTGCAGCACATTCAGAAATAATACACACAAAGATACAAACCCTCAAACAGTAGTTCTTAAAGTTGGAGGGTAACATGGTGGATCTGCTCGTTCTCTGAAGTTTACAGTTGACTCGGAAAGAGTCAAATGCAAAACCGGTCTTTTGAAGATGTCAATAAAGAGATGATGTTTTTGAAAACAAGCTGTGATTTCCTTTTTTTCTGTATGATTTGAATAGTACCACTTAACTGTCACCGTCCCACAGGTGGGACGTTTGCCACTATATTTTTAAAACAATAATATCTTAGTAAATACCTTAAATAATATTGACAAACTATATATCATTTGAAAGCTTACAATCTCTAGTTTCCATATTTGGTGACTGATTTTCAAAATATATTACAGAGGAGCCATAATTTATCAATATAAAACAAGAATATTTTTATACTCATAAGGCGTGTTCAGACCTTTATTTTAAAATAGCAGTAAACATGAAAAATCATGAAAAAATGGTAGATACCTCAGTTTGTTTCCATGCCAAAAGTTCAAAAGATAGAATCCATTCAATTATTTTTTCAATTCATATCAAAATCTGCCAAACTTCCCATGCTACTTCTGAATAGGATCTCTACTTCAGAAATTGTATGAAAATTGTGAAAATAATGGTTCATATCACTCAAAACACGAATGGAAATGCAGGCGCCCTTATATGGGCAGTAATGGAGTCTGATTATGCCCTAGTGAAAAAGTTTGGTACTGCGCTCAAATCATACTGAAAGCTCATTTTTTGAGATATCAACCTAAAATTTGAAACACAACTTGTTCAGATTTTTGGCTTTGATCTTTCTGACATTTTAGAGTAGCCCAGGTTTTGAAAATATATATTTTATGTAAAATATGAATAATTAATATTTTTACATTGTACATTTCCATAAACTCAAACTTCTATAACTTTTTTTCTGTCTCACTTTCTTAATTTATTTTACTTCTACAAAAATCTGCCAAATGTCTTCTTTAAAACAAGACCAATCATATGTCTATATTCCAAAGCATTCTTGAATTACAACCATTTAAGTTCGAAATGTGCATTTTCATGTCTATTCAAAAAAGGGGGGGGTGACAGTTAACAGGTTAAAACTAATCTAAATGATCTACTGGAAAATACATTTTAATTCAGGGTGCAGCACTTTTAAAAGCCACTTTACATGAAGAACCAGTTGAAGACGTCATTCTGAGTATGTTTACTGTGTTCCTTAAGACAAAGTGTTGAATATAAAGATGGCATACATTCCAAAGCAACACTGCATCCCATTGTATGGACAAATTTCCACAGAAGAAAGAGGCAACAGGGAACGACACGAGGGTGATCTATTCAAGGCCTGATATCTCTGCTTTCAAATTGATTAAATATTGTAAAATATTGTGCCCTGAGGTTGAGTCTGAGGCGGTGTCACAGAAGCAGCCTGTTGCCGCAGTCACCTGTGAATTATGTCTAACCTTGAGCAGACATGCAAAGAATTACGGCCAGGGAGAGAGGGGGATGTGACCATGTAAGAAGATGAAGTGGGTGTGATTAACAGCATCTTCTGCTGGCCAATTAGTTTTTATTGAAGAACCTCTCATTTTAATGCAGGAAAATGAAACTGGTGGAAGAGCGAATAAGATTTATGGCAATGCTGTTCCCTAGTGAGGTAGTTGTGAGGTGTATTTATCTCTGCAGTAAACTCATGTAGACAATTGAGAGTGCGAGTGAACTAGAGACGCTAAGGGAGGAGTACACTCACTGTATTTACTGACACACCAGATGCTTCATTCAGAAACGCACACAAAAGTACAGTAAACACTTCTGCACCTGCGAGCCTCCGGCACTATATTTTAATTTCCACTTCTGGATAATGACTGGAAAAAAATTGTTCAGTTGTTGCTGTTTCATAAGAATTTCTTGATGAGGCTGACTGTGTTTTTCACTAGTAAGCATTTCTAGTGTTCATTATAGTCCCCTGCTTTTATTATATATTACAGTGAGTTTAAACAATACAGCAATTAGATTGGTGTGTGTGTGCAGTTTTTTGGAAGTGTGCACCAGTAAGGCTGTAAATGTTTTCAGGGGCCTTTTAAATCAAATATAAAAAATGTGAATTACTTTGAATGTATATAAAACACATTAGAAAAACAATAGTCTCCCAAATGTAACAGTTTCACTTTGAACAATGACTACGTTTACATGCAGCCAATAACCCATTCAAAACCGGTATATTACCAATAACTCGGTTGCGAACGACCATAAACACCGGCAAAACCCCGAATATGCTCTTATCTCAGAATTTAAAAACCGGGATATTATACCAGGGGTACCCCTTTTCTAACCCGAATTTTTGGTCATGTAAACGCGTATCGGTATATCCCCAATAGTGATTTGTGTTCTGCGCATGTTCTATTCACAAGGAATCGGTCTTTTGAGTAGAGAAACTTCTCGGCGTGCAGTATACCGGAAGTAAACATGGCGAGACCAGGCGAGACACAGCACATCATACTTTTGGAGCGAGGTCAGTAACCAGCATCAAAGCACAAACAAAAGCGATCGCTATTTGCTCCGAACTATTCGTTATTCGCGTGCTCTTGTCGGTGTTGTCTTTGTATACAGGAAAAAGAATCGGAAATGACGCATAGTTTGTCCGTACGTCTAGACCTCTAGACGCTAACCGCGCGTCGCCGTTCACATATTGCAATTCCATGTAAACAGGAGAAACTCTCTCTGCTCACGCATGTAAACTGGTTATTCCTAATGTTTCAGAAACCTGAATAGTGACCTTAACCCGACCATAACCCGAAAATTGGCTGCATGTAAACGTAGTTGATTGTCATCAATGTTGATGTGCATTCACTGTAGCTTTATAGGTTTATTTTTCGGCTGTTGACTGGCTTTACTTATATGCTGATGTTGTGTGTGTTGTAAAGATCTCGTCATCTTTGTAGTTTATTGGTTGTTGTCGCCATTATTGAAGTTAATATGTTGCTCCTACTTAAATAGGTGGGGTTTTTTATTTCACTACAGAATTATTATTATTTACAGTGGGCATGTGGTGTGTGTTGATGTAAATCACAAAGCACAGCAGCCGCAATGTGTGTCACTGCCTGACCCGTGGGCTCACTCACAGGCGGTCGGGAGGGGGGATGTGGTCGTAAGCTGATTAGATGCACAGGGCAGATGGGTCTGTGTGTATGAATCTGGATGTGAAGTGTGTTGAGTATTGGTGAGTCTCCTCTCACCAGCCTCAATTGCAATGAGCTGAAGCCACTTAACCCTCACTACTCATCTGCTTAGAAACCAGACTGTCAGCAGCTGAATTTGAGGAGATAAGCTGTACAGATCAATGTCAGTTACTGCTAGTCCTAAGCATCAGAATATATTGCTGGTTTTAAAGACTAGAAAACTAAAATTGGAGCCCTCTTGGATTAGAGTCCTAATTCCCTATAGTAAAATAGCTTCTTCGGCTTTATTGTTTATGAGAAGCAGTATATGGAAGGAGAGAGCCATGGATCCTGGCTTGGGAAAGTTCTTCAGGAAATGTAGAGCATTCTTATGTCTGTCTGCTCTGTGTTTAAACTCGTGAGATAAAGGAGGGTTAGCCAATGGGATGAAGGCCATGTTTATCTGGACTTTGACCTATGCTTTGCTATGCCTGTAGTAAGTTGTAAAATTGTGCCTTAAAATATACAGCTCCATGTAAAAACCTTGTCCATATAGTTATTTATTATGTCAGGCTAACAGGTGGTCCTCGTGAGATAAACCAACTGCCTTTTTCGTGCCATGTCTATTCTGAAATCAAGTCAATGTTTTAAGCAACAACTAGGAAAAAAAAGCTAAATCAAGGCCTGTAATCTTGATGACTTGCCCTGGGAAAATCGTAATATTTGTTAGACAAACTCTACAATGAGCTGCCATAGAAGGTCAGATGTGTGTCAGTAGGTCCTTCATCCTTCTCCTCGACAAACAGATTTAACAGATCAATGGCTCATGGGCCTGATGGATGTGCTTGATTAGGCATGGACCCTGACTAGTAATCCAGGTCATGTGATGTCACTTCCACCCTACCTTCAGACCGGCAGTTTAGTTTTTCAAGGAAGTGCATTTAATATTCTCTTAAAAAAAAAAATCAGAAAAAAATGGACATTTCATGTAATTTTGTCATACTAATTTAGTGGTTTTTTTTTTTTAAATACTGCCATTTAAAACAGTAAAATGTACACTTTTTTTTTTACATATTTACTGTGTTTTTTACAGAATAATATACAACCACAGATGCCAGTTGTATATTTATTTATATACACACTGTAAAAACTAATCCTGTAAAAAAAACGGTAAACTACTAGCTGTGGTTGCCAGCATCATACCATAAAAATACGGTGTGTTACTGTTTTTGAAATTAACAGCTAAATTTCGTATTGTCAGCTACAGTATAAAACTTTAATTTAACGGCTATATGCTCTAACACAAAAACAGTAACACACCGTATAGTTACGGTATGATGTTGGTAACCACAGCTGCCAGTAGTTTACGTTTTTTTTTTTTTTACAGTACTATTCAAATTAACTCTGCTTTATTGCCATGACAAAACTATTTAAATACATTGCCAAAGCAGAGGAAAGTAGGTAGAATCCAATGAAATTAAATACTGCAGTAAAATTCGAAATTTATATTTAGGAAAAAAATACATAGAAAAAACTATGACCAACTTTCTTCAAACTCTTTATTTTACTTTTCCGCTTTTTCTCTTCTACCTCTTTACTCTGTGGCTCAATTCCTCTTTTCTTCTTGTCTCTGGATATTTAATGGCAGGCGTCTGTACCTTATAAACTCTATTTTAAATTCCCTCTCTCCAGAGCAGATGTGCTTAGTTGTCTTTGTATCATTCTTTGAAATTACACTTGGTCCCAACTGATGGCAGGTGTTTTGGTAGATAA